TGGTTAGCGGGGCCTGGAGTTTCGCAGCCCCCTTGATAGACTTGCGATAATAGTTCATCAGTCCAAGGAAACGGCGTAGGTCATTGACGGTCGCAGGTTTTGGGAAATCAACAATGGCCCGGATTCTCTCCTCCGGTGGGCGGAAACCGTCTTTGCTCACCGTATGACCCAGGTATGCCACCTCTGTCCTGCCAAATTGGCATTTTGACGGGTTGATGGTCAGTCTGTTTGCTCGTAGAATAGAAAAAACGATAGAAAGGTGTTTGAGATGATCCTCATGCGAAACGGAATGCACTATCAAGTCATCAATATAGCAACCCACGAAATCCAAACCCCTAAAAAGGTTATCCATATGCCTCTGAAAGGTTTGTGTGGCGTTACGGAGACCCATCGGCATCCCCAGGAATTCAAAAAGTCCAAATGGGGTTGTTACGGCGGTTTTCGGTACGTCGTCTGGGTTCACAGGTATTTGATAGTAAGCCCGCACCAAATCAATAGTGGAGAAGATCTTGGAGCCATGGAGTCGCTGAAGAATATCCTCGCAGTGTGGAACTGGGTAGCGGTCTGGAACAGTAAGTGAGTTTAAGCTTCTATAATCCCCGGTGGTACGCCAGCCGCCAAGTTTCTTTGGTACCATATGAATCGGGCTGGCCCACTGGCTACTGGAGGGACGGATAATTCCATGGAGTAGTAACATGTCGAGGTCTTCTCTCGCTATTTTTAGTTTGTCGCCAGTTAGCCTGCGGAATCTTTCAAAAACTGGTGGTCCTTTTGTGATGATATGATGAGCCACAGAGCTATCTGCGCAGGTGGTGGGTGCAGCGTTAGGTCTAGTTATATCGATGTAGTCGTTCAGTAAATCTGTGTAAGGTTTGTATTCCACAGAAGAGGAATTAATTTGGTCGATTGTCGAAACACTATGTACTGCTGCCTGGAAAATTTGGCCCTTTGTGGTGAAAGAGGTGATCGGGTCTATGAGTCGACCACCCTTCAAGTCCAAGAGTAAGGCATGATAAGTGAGGAAATCCGCACCAATGATGGCAGATTGCACGTCAGCGATAATGAAGGACCATTTGAATGCCCGTCGTAAACCGAAGTCAAGAGTTAATGTTTTTTGACCGTAAGTATGAATCGTTGTACCATTTGCAGCGTACAGAAGAACGTCATCCTGCTTTAGCCTTGTATTAAAAGATGATTTTGGAACCAATGATATCACCGACCCAGAATCAATAAGAAATCTCATATTCGTTTTTTTATCGTGGAGGTGAAGACGGTGTTCCTGTTTCAGGATGTTGTTATTGCTGTCGCCAACCGCCTGAATTGACGACAGCTTTTTTAGTTTTCCGGCTGAGGTTGCGGTACGAAGGAGCACGGTTGTGTACACATGTTGGCTCTCTCCTTGAATCTGCGGTGATAATAGCATATACGACTGGGAGCTGGTGATGCAGGTCTGGAGCTTGCACGGCTGTAACTGCGGCCTCTTTGATTCCGAAAGTCAGCACGTTCTTTGGTTAGCGAAATGAGCTCCGATAATGAGAGTTTAATCGCCGCCATGTCCTGAGCTAGATTGTTCAAAATTGAAGTTGTAAATCCATTGCTGGGTGAATATGATCGATTATCGGCCCTGCTGGTAGACATTACATAAGAACCTGATTGAGTTTCCAATAGCTCATCTGCGAATCTGGCTTGCTCGTCCAGCGTTGTCGAACGAAGGATTTTTAAAAGTTTTTGAGTGCTTGGGGGAAGCAATGCCAACCAACGCACGCGTAGTACGTCTTCAGTTGCTCGGTCACCCGCCAAGGCTGTCATTTGTCGAAGAAGCTGGCTCGGTTTCTTATCTCCGAGTTGCAATTCTGTTAAAGCTTTATGCAGCTGTCGATCAGCTGAATCGGTGAATCTGTTGATGATTTCAGATTTTAAATGATCGTATTTGTTCGTCCTGGGAGGATTCCTTAAAACATCCGATACCTCTATCATCGTCTCAGCATCTAACGCCGTGATAAGCTGATTATATTTAGCACCGTCCGAAATGATTTTGTTGCATTGAAATTGTGCTTCAATTTGTATAAACCACATGTTAGGATGATTCTTCCAAAAAGGAGGCAGTCTGCAGGTAGCTACAGCGTCGACATTCATAGAAGGTACGTACGAACTCAAAAGTAGTGGTTCGCCTATTAAGCTTTGATTGTGACCTTGTGCTTGCTCTCCCGGGTTTGTGTTTGAGGCAGGAAGAAACGGGCAGTCATCCTCCGGAACAGGATCTGCTTGTTGTTCGCGAGACATAATTATTGTTTCACTCGAATCTGTAAATTTGCGTATAAGTTTAGTTGTTCGAGACAAAAATAAAAAAAGGTATATAAGTTCTTGTTTGCAGTACGAAGCGGCTGGAGTGGGCCAATTGACCGGCACACGATGCACACTATTGCACGAAATTGTTATAGTTTTGTATTGTTTGTAGCACGTGGCACGTCACAGGTCAACACGTATTTTAGAGTTTCTAAGTTCTTTCGGGGTCACCAATTATGGGTTTACAGGGGTCCCATAAAACTGCTTTTAACGATGTACAAACTTTATTGTTGTATCCACAAGAAAAACACGTACTTATTATTGGAATAAACAAGAAAAATCATGAGTTGAGCATTGAGCGGTTCTTTTCGGCTCTGGTTGACAGATGACAGTTGACTTCGGATCTTCTTTTTTCTAACATTCAGTACGAACTGTCAACAGCTGTTTTCGGCGACTCACACGCCCTCTCGGGGCTAGCGGCAGAGTCGTTACCGGATCAGGTGGAGCAGGAACCGCCACAGCACTAATCGCGTAGCGCCATCTAGCGTTTCTAACTGGTAATTAACTAAAATCTTACAGTGTCTGAAAATTGACGCCCGTCCTTTCGGTTTTTTTTTGTGAAATCGCTAGATTTAGTTACTAATTCAAAATCTAGTAATTTCCCCAAAATCTAGAAATATCACCAGAATCTAGTAATATTACCAGATTTTAGTAAATTCGCCAGATTTATCCCCGATTTCACCAACCAGTTCCTAAAGTTAGGTAATACCTAAACCGAATTTAGGAATTTCTAAGTACAATTTGCGTTTCACCATGCACTAAGTAATACCTAAAGGTAATAAGAAATGCCTAAAGTTAGGACAACTCACTGGGCTTGCCTAAAACATTTAGGAAATACTTAATCATACTTTTTATGTGATTTCATGTGACTTTAGATTTGACTGTCTTTTGACTCTTTAGATGAAAATTTAAAATGGGAGGAGAGTTTTTAGAAACTGGACGAAACTGATGTTTTTTTTTCGCCTTTTTCGGTATATAAAAATACGGCAATAGAAATATTACAAAGATTTAAAGATGATTTTTAATTTGAAACACAGGAAGTTTTTGGAACTATTGACCGTACAAATGCATGTAAAGATCCATTTTCCTGGAGGAGAAGATGCAGAAATATTTTACAAATCGGAAAGGTTATTTTTCTATTAATTTACAGACTACATCTTCAGCAGATTTAAAAATAACTAACATAAATTAAAGATGGCCCGGATCATCAACATCTCTTCTTTTCTCTCAACATATTCAATTTCGATCTTCGCTTATTCGGTTTACATGTCAAAATTAGGCAATGCTACCAATAAAATTCAAATAATTGTCGAAATCATATTTTTACCTAAGGTATTTCTTAGTAAGGGATTTCTAATGTTGGTGAAATTCGATTTAGGTAAATATTCGATTTAAGTAATTCCTACGTTAGAAATTACCTAGTTAGGAAATGTCTAAAAACATGTTGGTGAAATCGGGCGTTAGTGACCATTTCCTGAACGAAAGAGGATTTATAAAATATAAAAAATAATGACAATAATATGTGAGGTGTTAGGTAGCAAGGAAAATTGAAGAATTTTTAGGGCTTGTACGAGGGTAGGGTGAAAAGTTGTCGACCCGAATCGTTTGGAACTGTCTATAACAATTTAGAACGCTCTAGAATCGTTTAGAATTGTCTAAAATTATTTAAAGAGCTTCAGAACCATTTAGAAGGGTCTAGAATCATTTACAACTATCTGGAACAATTTAAAACGATTTAAAATCATTTAGAACGCTTTGAAATCATTTAGAATTGCCTACAAAAATCTAAAACGTCCCCAATACCATTTAGAAATGTCCACAAAAAAAAAACAAAGATTTCGGAAAAAAAACTCGTAATTACCGCATTCCTATCGGCGAACTCCTGTCGCAAATGTCCAGATTTTAATCAAATCACCAGATTTAGTGACTTTCAAAATCTAGTAATATTACCAGATTTTAGTGAAAATCGCCAGATTTAGTGACTTTTTTTTTTCGATTTACTCTCGCCCATTTTGCCCTTCGACAAATTATAAAAAAAAATTCGTAAAAACTCGTAATTACCACATTCCTATCGGCGATCTCCTGTCGCAAATGTCGCATCTCCGCATCAGAAAATCACCAGATTTAGTGACTTTTTAAAATCTAGTAATTTTCCCAAAATCTAGTAATATTACCAGATTTAATAAAATCACCAGATTTAGTGACTTTTTTTAAAATCTAGTAATATTACCAGATTTTAATCAAACCACCAGATTTAGTAACTTTTTAAAATTTTACTTTTTTTAGTGACTTTTTTTCGATTTACTCTCGCCCATTTTGCCATTCGACAAATATTATAAAAAAAAATTAAAAAAAAAACTCGTAATTACCGCATTCCTATCGGCAATCTCCTGTCGCAAATGTTGCATCTCAGCGTCGGAAAATCACCAGATTTAGTGACTTTTTTAAAATCTAGTAATTGCCCCAAAATCTAGTAATTTTACCAGATTTTATAAAATAAATAAAATCACCAGATTTAGTGATTTTTTAAAATCTAGTAATATTACCAGATTTTAATCAAATCACCAGATTTAGTGACTTTTTTTTCGATTTACTCTCGTCCATTTTGCCATTCGACAAATTATAAAAAAAATTTAAGCAAAAAACTTATTTACCACATTCCTATCGGCGATCTCCTGTCGCAAATGTCGCATCTCCACGTCAGAATTCGTCGAGGCGGTTCCTCCACCTCCTCTTCTCTCCATCCTCTCCTGCAAATCGAACAATTCACTTCGTAATTTCTTATTTTCCCGTTCGATCGAAGATTTTTCGGTTTCGATGCGTTCCCGTTTCGCCCATTCGAGGGCGTTCTCGGCTTGCAAACGCTCCAACTAAACAATAAATCGCACGAATTACAGGGTGTCTCAAAATTTGAGATATAAATAATTCGGATGTCTAACAATATCACTAGAACCTAGTAATATTACCAGATTTAGAGACTTTTCAAAATCTAGAAATATCCCCAGAATTTTATAAAATATTACCAGATTTTAGTAAAACCACCAGATTTAGTAACTTTTTCAAAATCTAGTAATTTCCCCAAAATCTTGTATAACGATCAAAAATCTAGTAATATTAGCAGACTCGCTAAACGCTCGGAAAGGGGGCTGTGCCCCCCCTTTTAACCCCCATTTCTTATGGTGGCGGCTTCGCCGTAAGACAGTTTGCTAACCGGATCCTCGTTCGCTTCGCGAGCTCGGTGCGATTGAATTTTCGTTTGGAAATTAATCACATCCCGTATAATTTTTTTAAAAAAACCAGGCCTCGCTCGATGCGCGAGCTCGAGGGAATCGCTGTAAATAACGCAGTTGTACAATCAAATCTTCGCTCGCTCAGTTTATGTAATTAACATGTCCTATAATACCAGTCACCCTGTACTATATTTCAATTTAATTAAAAATAATTTTTCACTTAAGATGAAAAAACGCCGCGAATATCAATTTTCCGATTTCCATAATGAAAAAACTCCCTGTACATTAAATTAAATGTCAATGTATCCCGTAGTAACGGAAATGACAACTTTGACAGTGTTAAGTTTGTTCATCGCCGTTGTCATTAGTGTAAGTTTTTTTTAAATTAATTTAATCATTTATCGGTTTTTAGTAAATGTTAATGACCAAAAAACATGTAATTGTGCGAATTAAGGTAATTTATTTAACTTTCAACCTTTATAACGGACGAAACGTTGCAAATAACGAAAAAGTCTCTCTCACTTCGGTGTAGGTCCGTTTAAACCAAACGAACGAGCAACGTCCATCAACTAATTTATTTAGAAAACTGTCAGAAATTTCACTTTTAAAATCGAAATTCGGAAAAAACGAATTTAGCTGGCGAAAAGAGGTCGATTTTCGTAAACAGCGAAAAGTGCTTAGTTACCCCTATATATCACCCGCTAACCTCCCCACGCTCCCCCGCTAAAATATCCTCCGCTGCACTCCTCAACCCTATTCAACCATAAGCTGCCCTCCTCTACCCCAGCTACCTTGCATATCTAAAAACGTAACTCATGTGGTCTTTTGCTTACTTACTATTGGCTAATGCATTGTCCAATCTCTCATTTCCATATGCCCAAACTAGCTTCATCTCTCTCATTCATCGACAACACTACCTCTTTGTCTAAACCGCGTCCATAGTTAAGAGGGTCTATGGTACCTCTCTGTATGCTCCAGAAACTTTTTTTTTCAAATTTTTAAAAAAATGGCCTCATTCTTTCGTTTTTTTAGGGTTACAGCTGTGCATATAATAGTTACCAGATTTAGTGAGTTTTTCAAAATCTAGTAATTTCCCAAAAATCTAGCAATATCCCCAAAAATCTAGTAATATCCCCAAAAATCTAGTAATATCACCAGAATCTAGTAATATTACCAAATTTTAGTAAAACCACAAGATTTAGTGACTTTTCAAAATCTAATAATTTCCCCAAAATCTTGCATAACGATCAAAATCTAGTGATATTACCAGATTTTAGTAAAATCGTCAGATTTAGTGACTTTTTTAAAGTTTAGTAATATCACTAGAATCTAGTAATACTACCAAATTTTAGTAAAACCACAAGATTTAGTGACTTTTCAAAATCTAATAATTTCCCCAAAATCTTGCATAACGATGAAAATCTAGTGATATTACCAGATTTTAGTAAAATCGTCAGATTTAGTAACTTTTTTTAAAGTCTAGTAATATCACTAGAATCTAGTAATACTACCAAATTTTAGTAAAACCACAAGATTTAGTAACTTTTTCAAAAATCTATTAATATCCCCAGAATTTCGTAAACAAATCACCTCAGTCCGCAGATCGGCCAATTTCCTATCGAAACCATCCCTCGACGACGCCTCGTCGCGCGAATCTCGTTCCACCATCGACCTCAATTCCTGCAATTCCTTTCGATGTCGTTCCTGCAACAGCAACATCTCCCTCCCCGTTTCCTCTCTGTTCTCACGCAACTCGTCCAATTCCTCTTTGGCCTCTTTCAGTTCGGCCTGCAGCCGATCGACGGTCTCGTACAGATCGGTTTTCTCGCTACAAAAAAAATTGAACCAAAACGATTCGTTAATTAATTAAATTAATTAATTCATCGCTTATGCGGGGTGTGTAATAAAATTCCGTTTACTTAGAGGGCTAGTGTGCTTTGGAGGGATCGAAATAAGTCGATTGAGCCGAAATTATCCAGCGATTTATTGGGTCGGGAGTAGGGCGACGTTGCCGAACTTTTATAGAGTTTAGGAAATTTTTTTGGGATTTGGGATTTGGGATTTTTTTTTTATTTGTCGAGATTTGTTTATATGGCGAGAGCTGATTGAGGGAAAAGTCGCTAAATCTGGTGATTTTACGAAATTCTGGGGATATTACTAGATTTTGAAAAAGTCACTATATCTGGTGATTTTATAAAATTCTGGGGATATTACTAGATTTTGAAAAAGTCACAAATCTGGTGATTTTATAAAATTCTGGGGATGGTTCTAGATTTTGAAAAAGTCACTAAATCTAGTGATTTTAGAAAATTCTGGGGATATTACTAGATTTTGAAAAAGTCACTAAATCTGATGATTTTGCAAAATTCTGGTAACATTACTAGATTCTGGTAATATTTTTAGATTTTGGAGATACTCATGCCCAATTTCACCAACATGTTCTTAGGCATTTCCCAATTAAGTATTTCCTAAGGTAGGAATTACTTAAATCGAATTTCACCAACATTAGAAATCCCTTACTAAGAAATACCTAGGTAAAAATTTGATTTCGACAATTTTTTGAATTTTATTGGTCACATTGCCTAATTTTGACATGTAAACCGAATAAGCGGAGATCGAAATTGAATATGTTTTTATAAATTACTCTCGGCTGCTTGTGTTGGGACTCACATCTGCTAAGTCCCCACTTTGTATCAGAGAACTTCCTGTGGTTCAAATTAAAAATCATCTTCAATTATTTCTAATATTTGTAAAGCCTTCTCATGCTTTGTAATGTAATTCTAATATTTTTATGTATCGAAAAAGGCGAAAAAAATCAGTTTCGTCAACAAAAATTTCTCAAAACTCTCCTCTCATTTCAGATTTTCGTCTAAAGACAGTCAAATCTAAAGTCACATGAAATCACATAAAAAGTATGATTAAGTATTTCCTAAATGTTTTAGGCAAGCCCAGTGAGTTGTCCTAACTTTAGGTATTTCTTATTACCTTTAGGTATTACTTAGTGCATGGTGAATTTCTGTCTGGCAATTTTACTAAAATCTGGTAATATTACTAGATTTTGGGGAAATTACTAAATTTTGTGATATTACTAAATTTTAAAAGTCACTAAATCTGGTAATATTACTAATTATCGAATATTGTTATCCGGTAATTTTTGCTAAAATGGTACTATTACTAGATTTTGAAAAAAATCACTAATTCTGGTTATTTTACTAAAATCAAGAGATATTACTAGATTTAGAAAGTCACTAAATCTGATGATTTTACAAAATTTTGGTAATATTACTAGATTCTGGTGATATTTTTAGATTTTGGGGATACTCATAGACCTATTAATAGGTCTATGGGGATACTACTAGATTTTGAAGAAACCACTAAATCTGACGAATTTACTAAAGTCTGGTAACATTACTAGATTCTGGTGATATTACTAGATTTTGAGGAAATCTCTGAGGAATTTGAGGAAAAATCACTAAACCCTGATGATTTTACTATATTCCGGTGATATTACCAGATTTTAGGGGACATTGACTCAAACACGCCACTTTAGACTAACTCAAAGAACACACCCCGATACACGAAATTTCACAACACCCCGTATATATATACAAATCGCATAATTACTCTCGTTCATCGCGCAGATTTACACCGGCCTCGTCCAATCTGACCTGCAGCCCGGCCAGTCTCCGCAAAACTTCCTCTTTTTCCAACTCCCCGGTCGCTTCGGGGCTCCTCGAAACGGCCCCTCGAACAATATATTCCTCACTATCGTTGTGCTCAATCGTACTATCGCACTCCTGGTGATTAGATTGAGACGAAGGCGTCCCTTTAACGGTCGAAATGTGACCGAATACAAACTCCTTAAGAGGCTCAGGATCTTCTATTAGAGTCTCGAATTGACCCGAACGCTTCAAAACCATCGAATGCACTCTTTCGATGTCCTTTTTAAGCTGCTCGTTCTACAAAACAAAAAAACACCTCAATTATTATTATTAAATCGAACTAATCGAGCTAATTAAAACGTACCGATCGTTCCAATTCCTCCTTCTCTCGCTTGTACAGGGCGTTCTCTTCGAGCAGGGCTTCGAATTCCGAACGCAATCGTTTGGTTTCCTCTCGGGCTCGGTTTCGCTCGTTGCGGACTTTGCTCCATTTTTCACGCCAATTGGCGGTGCAATCGGACCACCAACGCATCGTTTTCTCCATTTGAGCGGCCCTGCCTTTGGCCTCTTCGAGTTCTCTCTGTCGCAGGGCCTGCGAAATTCACCATTTTTTTTTTAATTAACTAATTGATTCGATAAGTGTTAAGTGCTTAGAAAGTGCCTGGTAAACGGTAAATACGTTCTAATTTAATTACAGTGTAATAACCGTTTGTTATTTGAATAAAACGATCGTTAAACGGGTCGTCTTCGATGCAATAAAAGTTGTTTTTTTGACTAGTTATTCCTATATGGTTCTGATTGAATTACAGTCGAAAATCAAATAACTGTTTGTGTAGCGGTGTTTATTCGAATAAAACGATCATTGGCGAGTCGTTTTCGATGTAATAAAAGCGGTTTTTGATCGTTTTATTCGTTATTTTGTTACCTCGTTCGCTTCCCATTCGGAGGCATCGGCGATTCTGGAACTGCCGGCGATCGAAACGGCGTCGTGATCTCGGTTGGCGGTGTTTTGGGACATTTTTCGAGTCGTTTTACATCATCTAATAAGCGTAATTTGTGTAATTCGTTCGAATTTGGCGTGATAAATCGAAATTTCTACTCGAAATCTCCGAAATCTCGAAATCGCGTCCGAGTTTTGACACTAATGACAGTTCGATTTTCTTTTTTCTGCGAGCTGTCATTCGGTAGAAGGACTGTGATGTGTAAGAGATCTAGCTAATTGTAATTAAAAGTCATTTGCATAGTCTAATAAGCGTAAATCGTGTAGATTCGTTCGAATTTGGCGTGATAAATAGAAATTTTTACTCGAAATCACCAAAATTCGCTCGCGTCTTGACACTAATGACAGTTCGATTTTCTTTTTCCGAGAGCTATCATTCGGTAGAAGGCCTTTGACTAGTAAGAGATCTAGCTAGTTATGATTAAACGACATTTGCATAGTAAGAGATCTAGCTAGATGTAATTAAAAGTAATTTGCATACAAATTGTGTTTCTTGTGTGTATTTATCACGGTCTAATTGATATTAAACGGTTGCCTGGTAAAGGAGGTGTCATGGCGCGCTCTACGTCATATGCTACGTCACAGGTATGCTCTTTTTCGCTTTTATGTATTTGTAATGGGAAAGAAAATAGTTTTTAATAGTTAACAGTTTTAAATAGGATTATCTTGTAACGGCGAGAATGGCCTTTTTTAACTAGACTTTGATAACAACACCAAATGCCAAAAATGCACCATTTTAAGATATTACAATTTTTTTGATATTTTTTGGAAAAACAGTCGAATCTATTTTCTGTGATATCTCTGTTAATAATGCAGCTAGAAGCTTGAAATTTTGAAATTAAGTATCGATGATGTCCAAACATACTACTAAATGAAACTAAACTGTATTTTCAGAATCCATGTATAGGGCGTATAAAATTGTCTGACAAACTTGGCCAAATTAAAGTGGTCATAACTTTGTTATTTCAAATGGATCACCCTGTATTTTTTAACAGTGACCAATGCAGTTTTTAAGCTCTTTCGATCCATATAGGTATCCCCTATACCCAAATTCAGTAGTTTTTGAAATAATCGAAGTTTTATTAAATAATGTACAGGGTGGTCCTCTAAGAACGGCTCTCGGCCATATCTCGCAGACTAATTGTCGTAGAGACTTGCGGTAAAAAATCTTATAACTAAATCGGCCGAAAGAAAATGCTGGAAATAATTTTTAAGTCTCTTAAATGGCCGCTAGCGAGAGTATCCGCCATCTTGATTTTTAAAAGTCATTTTTTTCAAAATTTTCCTAAATAAAGGTATCAAAAATGTGTTTTATTTTGATAGTTAAGATATTTTCGATTAATTTTTTTTATATATTTTTGACTCTATCTTTTAATATAAAGTGGTGGGGGTGGTTTGAATATTTTGACTAATAAATGTTAATAACTTTTAAACGGCTAAACCGATTTTCAAAAAAATGAAATTGTTGAAAAGGGCTTTCTTTGGTCTATAATTTACACTATAAAGGATATTATTTTAATTGCTTGCTTGGCCGCAAGATGGCGTTTTTCGACATTACTTCAAAAAACACCGATTTTCTCAAAAACTTTAAATGCAACGATATAACTTTTTTTTTGGAAAAAAAATAGTCAAATAATTGCCAAACCAGCCTGTGAAAACCGCATCTCGATATCCCCTTCCTAACCTAAAATATATCTAAAAAAAAGAAAAAAAATCAAGAAAATGGGCAATTTTTGCTGAACTACCAATATAAAAACCTCTATTTAGCGTTGTTCCATCCTCAAAAATAATCAATTTGTTAATAATCTTCAAGTATGATATTTAAAAACACCAAGCTAAGTAATATTCATTTAATAATTATTGGATTTCCCTTCTATATGCACTAGTTGAGAACAAATGACCATAACCATGCCGTGGAAAATAAAACAAACCAAAAAATCTAATGAACTAGTCTAGAAAAATGAGCTTGGCATCCATCGGGTTGAAAATACATATTTCTTGGAGTTACCAGAAGAACATCTTCCAATAACCCAGGAAATTCATTACGAAGAAAATTTAGATATGTTTGTCCGTTGAGTCGCCCATTAATAAACCAGAGAACAACAACTGTCACCTAGTATACCACATCACACGTTGATATCAACGTCCTTTATTATTCTGGACCTGCTGCGTCCAGTTTTTTGGGTTGATGTATGATTTTTTACCGCAAGTCTCTACGACAATTAGTTTGCGAGATATGGCCGAGAGCCGTTCTTAGAGGACCACCCTGTACCTATATATACAGTGTGTCTACTTAAGTTGGGACCATATGGAAAACTTTTCTATTATTAGTTTTGTGAAAAAATTTATTCCCCATAAAAAGTTGTGCATGGTCGAAAACTTAAAATGCAATCATCAGATATCAAATTTTTTAAGCCGTATACGAAGGTATGTCAAAAAATATGAATTTTCCTCAAGAGTAAAGTACCTTTATTTTTTACAATATCGAAAATTGTTATAAAGAAAAGTTGATAAGAACTAAAAATTACGTTCAAATATGCAATTACAGCCATTTAGCATAAAAAATAAGGTTCGGTGATTATTTACGTTTTACATTATAAATTATTTGTAGTTATAAATTTCAATACTGATTTTATCTCTCTGATCTGTTAAAATATGATAACCTTTCCATTTGTTAATGTTTTTGAACAATCTTGCAATTTAAATACGTAATCAATGCATAATAATTATTTATTTTAGAAATAGGAAAATCCATACAAAGAACAAAACACAAACATTTGCTACTATTAATTTACTAAAGCTTCGACATATCCACCTTCTCTTTGTAAACATTTATTTGTTCTTTTCTCAAACTCTTTTACTACGGCCAGTATCACATTTGGAGTAATTTTTTGGCATTCTTCAGAAATAATCCTTTCCAAATGGTCTACATCATTAAATGGTCCTCGCTGATAAACCTGCTGTTTTAAGTAACCCCATAAAAAAAAGACCAGGGGAGTTAAATCAGGAGACCTGGGAGGCCAAAAAATGTCTAAATACCTGTGAATCACCTTTCCATTAAACATATTTTCAAGGAGTACTCTCCTTTGGGGCAGGAGACGGTACGGCGAGCATCGCGGTTCGCACTCGAATTCGAAACAATAATTTGAAACGGCATATACGTTAAAAAGTAATAGTAAAATCATATATGCAGAAAGAATTTGAAAAAACTAGGAAGAACCTGGTTTTGGCGATATTATTGAGTAAAAGTAATGAAAAATACAAAAAAATCGTACAAGCCGGAATAAAATAGATAGAAAATAATTTTAAACGGCATATACGTTTATACGTTAAAAAGTAATAAAAAAATCATATATGCAGAAAGAATTTGAAAAAACTACGAAGAACCTGGTTTTAGGCGATATTATTGAGTAAAAGTAATGAAAAATACAAAAAAATCGTACAAGCCAGAATATAAATAGATAGAAAATAATTTAAACGGCATATACGTTAAAAAGTAATAGTAAAATCATATATGCAGAAAGAATTTGAAAAAAACTACGAAGAACCTGTTTTTTGGCGATATTATTGAGTAAAAGTAATGAAAAATACAAAAAAATCGTACAAGCCAGAATAAAATAGATAGAAAATAATTTGAAACGGCATATACGTTAAAAAGTAATAATAAAATCATATATGCAGAAAGAATTTGAAAAAACTACGAAGAACCTGGTTTTAGGCGATATTATTGAGTAAAAGTAATGAAAAATACAAAAAAAATCGTACAAGCCGGAATAAAATAGATAGAAAATAATTTGAAACGGCATATACGTTAAAAAGTAATAGTAAAATCATATATGCAGAAAGAATTTGAAAAAACTACGAAGAACCTGTTTTTTGGCGATATTATTGAGTAAAAGTAATGAAAAATACAAAAAAATCGTACAAGCCAGAATAAAATAGATAGAAAATAATTTGAACGGCATATACGTTAAAAAGTAATATAAAATCATATATGCAGAAAGAATTTGAAAAAAACTAGGAAGAACCTGGTTTTAGGCGATATTATTGAGTAAAAGTAATGAAAATACACAAAAAAATCGTACAAGCCGGAATAAAATAGATAGAAAATAATTTTAAACGGCATATACGTTAAAAAGTAATAATAAAATCATATATGCAGAAAGAATTTGACAAAACTAGGAAGAACCTGGTTTTTGGCGATATTATTGAGTAAAAGTAATGAAAAATACAAAAAATCGTACAAGCCAGAATAAAATAGATAGAAAATAATTTTAAACGGCATATACGTTAAAAAGTAATAGTAAAATCATATATGCAGAAAGAATTTGAAAAAACTAGGAAGAACCTGGTTTTTGTAAAATTATTGAGTAAAAGTAATGAAAAATACAAAAAAATCGTACAAGCCGGAATAAAATAGATAGAAAAATAATTTAAACGGCATTAAGTTAAAAAGTAATAGTAAAATCATATATGCAGAATGAATTTGAAAAAACTAGGAAGAACCTGGTTTTTGGCGATATTATTGAGTAAAGTAATGAAAAATTACAAAAAATCGTACAAGCTAGAATAAAATAGATAGAAAATATTTTTAAACGGCATATACGTTAAAAAGTAATGGAAAATCATATATGCAGAAAGAATTTGAAAAAAACTAGGAAGAACCTGGTTTTTGGCGATATTATTGAGTAAAAGTAATGAAAAATACAAAAAAATCGTACAAGCCAGAATAAAATAGATAGAAAATAATTTTAAACGGCATATACGTTAAAAAAGTAATAGTAAAATCATATATGCAGAAAGAATTTGAAAACACTAGGAAGAACCTGGTTTTTGGCGATATTATTGAGTAAAAGTAATGAAAAAATACAAAAAATTCGTACAAGCCAGAATAAAATAGATAGAAAATAATTTAAAACCAGCATATACGTTAAAAACTAATAATAAAATCATATATGCAGAAAGAATTTGAAAAAACAAAAACTAGGAAGACCTGGTTTTTGGCGAAATTATTGAGTAAAAATAATGAAAATACAAAAAAATCGTACAAGCCAGATAAAATAGATAGAAAAATAATTTTAAACGGCATATACGTAAAAAGTAATAATAAAATCATATATGCAGAAAGAATTTGAAAAACTAGGAAGAA